TTCGTGACTTGTGTTGTAAAGAATCTTTTTATGCCATTGTTTCGTGACTTGTGTTGTAAAGAATCTTTTTATGCCATTGTTTTGTGACTTGTGTTGTAAAGAATTTTTATGCTCTTGTTTCGTGACTTGTGTTGTAAAGAATTTTTATGCTACTTGTTTCGTGATTTGTGTTGTAAAGAATCTTTTTTATGCCACTGTTTCGTGATTTGTGTTGTAAAGAATCTTTTTTATGCCACTGTTTTGTGACTTGTGTTGTAAAGAATCTTTTTTATGCCACTGTTTTGTGACTTGTGTTGTAAAGAATTTTTATGCTCTTGTTTCGTGACTTGTGTTGTAAAGAACTTTTTATGCCTATTGTTTCGTGACTTGTGTTGTAAAGAATCTTTTTATGCCATTGTTTCGTGACTTGTGTTGTAAAGAATCTTTTTTATGCCATTGTTTCGTGATTTGTAAATATCCTTCCTATGTCATTGTTTCGTGACTTTTGTTCTACATGTCACCACTTTTATTGTCTTCAATAAATTTTCAAAATGATATCGTCAAATTTAAGCATATTTCTTCAAGGTGCTAACCCTGCCAACAACCCTTTGTTCTTAGTTAAATAAAACAATTTTGTGAAAATATGTTTATTATTATTATAATGTAATTATTAGTATAATAATTAATTATTCATATTATCCATGAAGTAATATAATTTGAAAACAAAAACTGCAGGATAAATAAAATGTTTTTTTTTTGCCCCGGTAATAGTATTTTTAATTTATTTTTTTTTTTTGCACAACGAACGAGTTTAACAGTGTAGCCAACTTTAGGTAGAGTGTTTTTCTTTACTACAGAAACTTCATCTGTAGAAAATAAAAGTTTGGAGATGGCTTGAGTGGGTAATGAAGAAAACTTTATTATAAATGTACGACGTGACCTCTTTGTCCCATACTGTATATATATATATATATATATTCACTTGTCTCTGTAAACTACTTGTATCTGAGGATGGCATAATCTTATCGAAACGTCGTACACCTATGTAAATATGATAGTACTGTCTGTTGTATGTCCATGTAACTACTTCGCAGGGTGTGGATGGATCTTCATCAAAATTGGTATGGAGGTTTATGATGTCCATGCGGGGTACATACAAAGTTTCAGTTTTGCGTTATGCAGTTATTATGGGCGTTTTTTTCACTATTTCGCCCCCTTTTTGACTGATCTTCACCGTAAGTTTTTTTTTTTTATTTTTTACTT